TAAAATTCATTAAAAAATAAATTAAAAACTTAAAGATAAAACCTAAAACCTTAAAATTGCTAGAATAATTTATTGTGGATTGAATTTGTGTATTCCTCTTAAACCTTCTTCCTCAAGTGAAATATAATCATCTCTATTATTAATTATAAAAGTGATTCATTTGTGTGATAAGGTCTTTCTTTAAGCAAAGGATGATTAAGTATTTAAACTTTATCATGAAAACCAAACATGAAAATCAAAAAATATAGAAAGTTTTGTAGGAAATAAAAATTAAATTCTAGAAGGCCTATAAAGTTTCTAATAATTAGATTTTCTTCTCCTTTTCAAAATAAATTCTTAATGAATTATTTTTATAAATAAAAAACAAATAAATGTTATGTGTATCATGGTACATGTCACAGCAACAATATATACTAACACATATCCTCAAAATACTTCCTAGAATAGTGAAAAGGATTCTTAGAAAAGTATTAGAACCCTAAAATATTAAAATTTGCATAAAAATGCAAATTTAAGTTACAAAAATCAAGTGAAAATTATTGACCTGAAATAAATATGTATGTTTGTTTATATATATATGTATATATATACATATATATGTGTGTTTATATATAGAATTTTTGAACAAAACTGATATTATTTCTCAATCCGAATATTATAATTTTAGTATTAGTGATAAAAACATTAAAAGAAATGTATTTTCATTACAAGACAAGTCTTTTACAAATTCTTGCAAAGCGTCATTATATTTTAAGCAAATTCAAATGGATGTTAAGTGTCTGATTTCTCTCCATTGTTTACACAGTGCAACCTGTATATTAACTGAAAAACTTCATTGTTCTATGAATTTTTAGATCTCTCTGAGGAGATTAACAGCCAGTATAATATCCAGTGAGCAGTTGCACCTCACCCCTACTTTGTGATTTCTAATTATTGTCATGACTGTTTCATAGTTCTTGGCAACCTCATCTCTCCCATTTAAGGCCAGTGATGCTGTAGTTCTAGCCTGAGGGACATCTCATCTTACAGTGAATGTCAGGCAACCCACTGCAGTAATCCAGGATTTAAGTTATGGAAGAAAACATAGCAAAATTGAATCATATTTTGCATGTATGCTTATATTTATTAGTTTCCTCTATCATTTTCTTTTCTCTAAAGGTAGTAAATATTCTGTAGCCTCTATGTCTGTTGTCAGTTAAAGGAATAAGATATATTTGTATCTAAACAAACGAAACAATATCACTCCCAGTAGTAAAGTTTAATGCCTTGTGAAAAGAGAATATAGTTTCTGTTTTCCTTTCTAGTATTTTCCATAGTTGTTGAACCATCCATGATTTTTAAAAGTTTATGCTTTATCTTCATGGGCCAAGTTAAGTATCCTTCTTTTAATGTGCACTTCACACTTTTTGCCAAATTTTGCAGTTATAGCCCTTGGTTATCTAAGAAACTCAATTATATTTCAATAAAACTAAAACGTTAAATTAGAGACGGAAACCTGCTTCTTTACAAAACTCATACCTAACAAAGCAATGTAGGACTTGCAAAGTGTGCTGTTAATGTTTCTAGGATATGCATTAATTTATGGCATTTGTCCTCAGAGAACACGTAGTAGTTTTTAATCTAGTTACACAGAGATGTAATTTTGTTTTTGAATTTCTAGTAAATTATAGGGAATGAAGCCATCCCACACGTCAGTCCGTAGTTCTATTGTCCAATTGTATGGGCACATGGAATGAAAAAATCTATTAACTAACTTCATAATTTGAAGTGCAATTCTCTAGCAGCGTGGGAAGCCTTGCATTTTTCAAATGGTGGTTTGCTTTCAGGTTCTACTTTAGGTGGTCAGAAACTCTGTGTTTGGTAATATACTACAAAATTTAAGGTATATATCCTCTTTTTAAAGTAAGGCAAGTCAAATTACAGATTGGGTATTACCCCCTGAAATCTATTTCTATTTCTGACTTTAATTTTAAACATGTATGCAACTCTTTTTATGTGACAAAATAATCTCTGATTTCACAGAAAGTTGATAATCATAATAAGGGTTATTGGAGCAATCTTTCATAAGTCAGGACTTGATAAAAATTGACTTGCTGTACATGAACTTGGAAACCTAGCATCAATGGGTTGGCTTTTACACTTTGTTCCAATCATTTTGGAGGATGTTTAAAGGTTCTTCTACTCTTCACTTTTCTCTGAGAATTTAGATCAGCATTGTAAATATATTTGAAGCCACATTATTATACTGTTTCCTTCTCATTCCTGAAAATTGTTCTGATTTGAAACTCAATACACTGAGCAACCATGACATGAAGCAGCACATATTAAAGTCATGAAATATGAAAAACCAACTTGACTGAGCATCATGTAACTAAAGAAGTAGGGTTACTTTGTTAGTTAATAAGACATCCATGGTTTTTGCAGTTCCTGTGAAATGTCTGAAAAAAGAAATACCTTGAGAAGAGAGATTTTGCTGGAAATGCACAGTTCAATGAAATGTACATCTATGATTTATGTAAAGGGTAACAAACTACAGATTTCCTTGTATTATATATTGTAATAATTCAATAGCTTACATGATTAATACGTTTATAGAATAGCTTTTATGACAATGTTCTCAGATGCATTTTGTTGCAGAAATAAGGAGGATTAAATAACTAATCAAAATTGTTGACTGTGGTAGAAGCATCTATACTCCTATCTCTCATACAAACACCAACATAAATCATCTATGTAAATGTTCATTAGTGTTTATAATGACATATTAAATTATTTCTACTTTTCATGAATATCCAATATTTAGATAACAAATGACAAAGATGAATAGAATTTATATTTTCTTTTATTCTTCCTTATTCCATGGCCTGCAACTGATAGTCCTATTTAACAACAAAAACAAAAAAACAGAAATTATGGCAAATCTTTCACCCAAAACAATCACTTCAGTTGTCTTTACTTTCAATGTACTTTTAAATAATTTTTACTTTAATTTTAAAGTATTTATCTAAAGAGTTAAGAGACACTCTGTTTATAAGAGTTAGTGGATCCCAACTGGTGAAGAGGCGAGCTAATAACCACATGGCTTCTTCCTGCAGTCTCCTAATCATGTCAATACTGGGATGCTTCAAAGACTGTAGATTAATTACAGCATAGGCTTTTCATAAGATCCTCTGTTGTAGCAGCTCTGTTCTGTTCAGATGAAAAGAATGTGGTTGAAGTCAATGCTGCATGGTTCATATTGATTATCCAGAGAACTAATTCATTAGTGCCTTGATCAATTAATACATATTTTATCTTCTTTAATCTCAAAGAACTTCACTTTTCTTTCAATTTTATTAAGTTCTATTCACCATGTGGTGAAGGAGGTCGCTTGTTTGTTTCCTGACTGCCTGGTAGCTCAGACCCAAAATAATTACACAGAAAACATGTTATTTAAATCACTGCTTGGCCCATTAGTTCTAGCTTCTTATTGGCTAACTCTTACATATAAATTTAATCCATCCCCACTAATCTGTGTATTGCCATGTGGTAGTTTACCAGGTAAAATTCTGACTGTCTGTCTCTGGCAGGGTTACATGGCTTCTCCTTAACTTTCCCTTCTTTCTCACAGCATTCACTATAGTTTTCCCTACCTAACTCTATTCGCTGTGCAGTCCCAAGATAGTTTCTTTATTCATTAATGGTAATCACATCATACAGAGGGTAATCCCATATCAACCATGGATTAACTATATACTGTAATTACATTAGAAATAATTATAATTCCATATGTATTAAATAACAAAATTGGAGACAAATATAGTGAATGTTTGTAAATTTTTTAGATTTATTTTTGAGATTATTATGTAATTGCATTAGTTTTCCTTCCCTTTCCTCCCTCCAAAACCCTTTCATGTAAATCTCTTTGCTCACATTCATGCTCATAGTCTTTTTTATCATTTGTTGTTTATATATATAAACAACAAATAATATTAATTATTAATTAATAATATTATTAATAAATTGATTAATTAATTTATTATTAATAAATCTATTAATATATGTTACTACACACACACACACACACACACACACACACACACACACACACATATATATATTCTTAAACACTGCCTCCAACTGGTTCCATCTGGACAATGTGACTTATGTTCCTGTCTTTAGGGATGGTCATTGGTGTTAGGTAATCGACTGGTGTGCTCTTCCATGCAGAAGACGACCTCTTCTGCTCTCAGCACTTGTTAGTTGCCTGTACTTCTTTCTACAAAAGGAAGCCTACAGAAGGTTCCCATTTCCACTGTTGCACAGTTATTATTGCTCTTATTCAGATCAATTTTAGGCAATCATGTTATTTTTTCCATTGAATGTGTTTCTTTACCTTTAGAACTCTGCCTTTTTAACTGTTTGATTGTAAACTCGGCTTTGATATGGTATATATTGTAAAATCAATGATAATAAAACATGCAAGTTAGATGAGTGAAATAAGCTAAAGTTTGACCTGATTTAATTCACTTTGAGATTGTAAAGTGATTGGACACAGGTTGTTGTAGATTCAAGTTTATGACATTTCTTCGTCAAAAATGAAAAATTCCCACTGGAGACACAGACACTCTAGACTGAACATAATATGTCCCTGAAGTTATGAAGAAATAATTGAATTGGTATAAGTGATACATAGAAATATAGAAGAAATGGTGCATTTATATCAGTTTATATTTTTCTAAACTTCAAAGAAGAAAATCAGTGCCTATTTTGACTTTCTGTTTGTGTTCCAAAACAAAGTGCTACTTTTTGCATTGAAATTTCATGCTTTTTTGAGAGTTACAGTTGAATTGACAAAACAGACTTGTCAGACATTGTGCTCACATGATCTTCTACTTTTCTTTTCAGGCATTTCCCTGTGAGGTTAATCCTAAAGATTAATAATAAACTCAATGCTTTTCCTTATTGCAATGCTTTAAAATAAGTGTGTGTTTCTTTTTGTTTTGTTTTACTTTTCTTAGCAATGGTTGTTTTGAGCAGCCTGGAACCAAATACAACTTATGAAATCAGGGTTGCAGCAGTAAATGGAAAAGGACAAGGGGACTACAGTAAAATAGAAATATTCCAGACACTGCCAGTCCGTAAGTACTCAGCATCACTCTGTTCTCTGTCGTCAGAGTCTTCTCTTGAAAATGTAATGGGATTTTTTTTTTAACGCAGTAAATCATTTCAATACTTAGGGAAGTGAATTATATCTCTATTGAAGTTTTTTTCTGAGTTAGTGACATCATGGCTTACATTTCTCAAAACCTGGGAAGAAAAGAGAAAACACAATGAATTATAAACAGTAAAGTTGTTCTTAGTATGAGTATGTCTTTCAAATTTGTAATATGATTAATTAGATTATGACTGCAGCTTTTATTATGTTTATAGACCAGTTGTTGTGTGCCATGTCTCTTTTAATGAGACACTGCTATTATCCTGCAAATTATGGGAGCTGTAAGAAGAGGGAATACGAAACTCTAAAGTAATTGGTTGCAAAAGTGACTATAGGAGACCATAATCATCTGTGGCCTTTTTCTAAAAACTATTCTGCTTTAAGTAATTTTTAGTCAATTTGGTTTATTTAAAGTTTTGAAATTTTAAAAGGCATAACCTCTGCGTCATTTCCCAAATGTGAGACAATTTACTGAAGAGGACTGAATATTGCAGTTGCGGAAGATGGGCACAAATCTGCCTGCTCTATGCAATATTACTTCATTAAATTGTCTACAGTAAGTTCCTGCTCTGTAATCTAGGCAGTGGTTTTTCTATCGTTTCTCAAAATCCACTATGTGATGTCCCTTTTCTCCATTCTCATAATGCAATATTTTAATTCCTTCATTATTTTTTACCAGTCTGTCTCCTAGGTAAGTTTATCAATGCTCCTACCCAGATCTTAGGTGACTTGTACATTCTATTTTTATTTTCTCAACTTCTGATGATACCCAGAGGTGTTGCAAATTCATTCACAATGGAAGCTTAATCAATTCAATTATACTCTGAGTAATGTTTATAATTCCGTGCATTCCTACATTTACAGACTTTGAACAACTTTTCTCTTCTTGAAACACCACTGTGCATGTTTAAAAAAATAATCTTTACTCTTGATACTGAGCATATGATTCAGTCATCAAAGTGTTGTTATTTCATGAAAGCATGAGAACCTGAGTTGAGATAAACAGCACTCATATAAAAGTTGAGTGCAGTGTTGTAGGTTAGTAAGATCAGAAGTGATTTGGAGGTAGAGGTAGATAAATCCTTGATGCACACTGGCCAATAAATCTAATCAAATTGGTAAGCTCTCTGTATACCAAAAAAGTTGATTTCCACGTCGAAGCATACCTGCATGCATAAGGAAGTAACTGGATGTTTCTCTCATGCCCACAAGTTCTGGAGGCTCAAAAATGAGTATTTTGGTGCCTGTCATCCTCTTTGACATAATTATCACTGCAAGGAGCAAAGTTGTCTTATGTCGAGATTAACATTAACAATAAGACAATTATGTCTTATTAAACATTTTAAATGTCATATTCTTTGAAGTGATTGAAGATTACCTATGTATCTCAAATATACCATTATATCACCTTGAAATCCTCCTAGCATAACTATAAGTTAGTTAGATATGGGTGGTTATTAGCCTGTAATTTTTTATTGTCCTGATTAGCTTTTAAGGACTAAAAATGATAGACAATTATGCAAGTTGTATAGGTATGAACTGTATAGGTATAATCTTAAGAAAAAATAGAAACAGATGTATAGTAAAAGGACAATAGCCTTGAATTTGTATTAATATACAAAAATCCTTTAAAAACAAATAGAAATGTAAACAGTGTAACATAATTAACCTTAAATTTGTATCATTATACCAAAATCCATGCGAATGTAAAACATTTGATAGTTGTTGTTTTATCCTATATTCTCATAAATATTAAAAAATAATTATATAACCCACCAAATAACTAAAAACTTTCCTTACTGCATAACTCTGCTACTTTCTCAAAATGCATTCCTTTTGTCTGTAGACAAAGTATCTTTAGGTTCCCTGATACATTTTTTAAATAATGGTCAAATCCTGGGAAGATCAGCAGTAACCTTTGTTGGTAGAAATCACTTATCAAGTTTCAGGTGATCTCCCTTGATTAAAACAGATTCATATTAACTAGGAGTGAATTCACAGCCTTTTGTTTTTTGTGGAAACAAATTAAAAGCATTTCTCTAAAGCATTTTTGATTCCCATTTAAAAAGTATGTTCTTTGTTTCTTTAGAGTTAAGGCATTACAAAAGTATATAACCTGGTTTATTTTAACAGTCCTTCTTTTAATTTTAGGTCTCTTAGTAGCTTTTCTTTGCTTATCAGCATTTAAAAATTTTAGAATAAACATAATAACATACAGGATCCAGACTTCCTGTGTATTTAACTCTTTTTATTTACTTCTCTCTTTAAAGACTTTGTTATTTTAAAACTATTTGTTCTCTCTATTACTATCCATATACTTTTTTAAAAAAAAAAGCATACGTACGTTATGAAACACATTGGAACCTGTTTAGAATTTTATGATCTTTTTGTTTTGTTTTGTTCTGGTCTGGACCTCTTTTACTATATATATCTAGTCTTTAGTAATCTCATGAGGAAACTTCATACTGTTAAGCTATACCCTAGTGCTCTAGCATCTGACACTGCTGCTCTCAGGTTGGGTTGTGAAAGTTATGTGCAAAGTCCAGTCAGAGGAGCATGACCAAGAACTGCATTCAGTCCCCCAGAGCTCTAGAATGCTGATGCTTGCCTATGGCAGGCATTTTTTCACTTTTTTTTATTTCTACATAGCATAAAAAAAAACCCTGTTTAAGAACTCTGTAGTGACCAGAGTTTCTTAAAGAAGAATTTTTTCTGTTTTATTAGACCCTACATGGAAATATGATTGTATGTTTGGTGCCAAAATCTAGTTGGATTTTTTTTTTATTCTAACCCCACTTTGGAAAGCAAAAATGTGTTGTTTACTGGAGGTTGCCTGGTAGCTCCTGAATGACCACTCTGATAATTAATTATAAATGTTTGGCCAATGGCGCAGGCTTATTAATAACTAGATCTTACATTAAAATTATCCAATTTCTATTAATCTGTGCATTACCACATGCTGTGGCCATGGTGCTGGATGGTGTCTATTAGACTCCACTCTTTTCCTCCTGTATCTCTGCTTGGATTTTTACCTGACTCTATCCTGCCTTGCCATAGACCAAAGGAGCTCTATTTGTCAACCAATAAGAGAACCAAATATTCAAATATACAAGGGGACATACCACATAATATAAGTGCATTTATATGTGTACTAACAGATATAAAGGACACACACAGTTACACACACACCACCACACCACCACCTCCGTGACTCTTATTTGTTCTGATTTTCTCATGTCTTCTAAATTATAATATAGATATTTTATAATACAATATACTGATGTTGAATTGTTAACCATTCTCCAACGTTGTGAGTTCTTTGAAATTAGGGGCAATTCTTTTACTATTGGGTTGATCAAACTCTCACAAATAGAAGACATTATTTTATTTATTTTACTGCAACATAATCTTTATTCTTTTATATTTCATTTTACAAATAAATATTACATTGTAATAAAGTAATGTTCAGTGGCTGTGATTATTAACAGTAGACCTTTATGAGATTTGGCATTATCATTATGGATAAACAGGGAGAGTTACTGAAGTTCTAGCCTGCCTTAAGGGGCAACTGTCTATTTTCTAGGGAAAGGAATGTCCTTTCTTTCAGTGTTGTAGCCACTGATAAATTGCCCTTGCTCCATTAAACAATTTCCTAAAACACTCTAAATAAATTCTGTGGATCACACACTGAAAAAAAACATAATAGACATAAAGATAGAGATGGCTTTCAACAGGAAATAGAAATGAATGAAGTGAAAATAATTTAATTTTCATTACATAATTTTATGAAACTTAAATCATCAAATATTAAATATAGCATTTTAAGTTAAATTATAAATCTTTGAATTAATACATCTTGTGTATGTGAGGCATATATTAAAATCTAATGGTGAAAATTTAGTTTCTGCTCTTTAACCATCTATAAATGTAATTATTATAAGAAAATGATTGCACTGTCATTTTAAATGACCCTCTTCTATACACAGTGTCATTATTAAACAAATCTCTTCTATACAATATGAAATTTTCTATTTTAAGCATAGAAATTCTACTAAAGCAGCTGAGCTGTAAAGTTTATTTTGTAAGTGAGCATCAAGTTATGCCACACCAAAATACACAATAAAGTAAACCAATAAAAGATCATGTATTTGATATATAGGTTGATGGTTTTACTAGAAAGCAGCCTTATTAGGAACGTACAGTGAAAGTTCCTCAAGAATGTTTGTGTTCCTTCTTAGGTGAGCCAAGTCCCCCTTCCATACATGGACAGCCAAGCAGTGGGAAGAGTTTTAAAATCAGCATCACAAAACAGGATGACGGAGGGGCTCCTATTTTAGAATACATAGTGAAATACAGAAGTGTAAGTATCTTTTGATTAATATTTTGTATCTTGCTGTCTGTTACATGATAAGTCACCATAATCTTAAAGATTGATAAGGAATGAATCTATAAGGTAAAGTATACATGTTAATTTTTCTATTTCTGAAATTTATCATTATATTTGTTACCTTTTTATTAAAGAATACGTACTATTTTGAAACATTTTGATGGTTTTGATCCTAATTCTAGTCTATAATGTGATTTAACAACATGAGAGATAACATTTCTCTTCTTTATATCACTACTTGTATCTACATTTCACTTCATCTTAGTACATTAGCCTAAATCTGTTGGCTCATTTTAAATAATGTAGTGTTGACCCCAAAGTCCAGTTAGCAAGGAGGAGTTACCCCAAGAGACCGCTCTCACACCGCAGTTGGTATAAAAGCTAGAGGACTTAATTTTGTTGCTACAAGGTCCTTAAGCATCTGAGAAGCCAAAGACCCCAAATGACTGACACAAGCTACTTTTAAAGCAAAAAGCCATAGAAACAAGTGTGTGTGTGTGGGAACTCGGGGGTTGTTTTTCAACTACTAGGATTGGCTTATTCAAAGGGTTACTAACAATAATTGGTTTGAGCCAGGAGTGAAGAGCGGTTGCCTGATCAGGCAAGGTAAGTGGGGACATCTGAGGTTCATTCTGACTCCTTTCCAGGGACTGAGTCAAAACATCTGTAGATATCTGTGGGTTACCTTGTCCCAATTCCTGGAACGGAGCTCTATTTAGAGAACATCCGCAAGGACACAGGGAGATAGAAAGTCCCTAACACTCCAGTACGTGCATGTGTAGTTGTTAGGTTCCTGGGGGAGTGGAGAAGCACACTAAGGCTGAGAGGCAGAGGCCTCAGAAATGGACTCAGAGTTGTTCTAGAGTTCTACAGTAGAAACAGTATTAGAAACTTTTCATATTATATTAACAATATATTTGTTAAAATAATTTACTTAAAAGATAATTTAACTTGAGTCATGGTTTAAAAAATAGTAGTTCATTACGGTCAGAAAATCATGCCTTGTAATTACCTTGTGTCGGAAGTGAAGAAGCAGAGAGATGAATGCTGCTGTTATTCTACCTTGATCTTTACCACAATACTGGACTCTAGCCCATGAAGCCCTATAACTCACACTTCCATAACAAATCCTTCTTTTGGCTACAAAACACTTTGGAAACGTCTTCACAAATATTTCCAGTGATGTGTTTCTGAGCAACTCTTTTTTAAAACAATTTTTTCATTAATTTTTATATAAAAAATTTTGTCTTCATGTATTCTTCAGTACAATGTGTTGTACTGAAAGAATGTACATATGCTGGCAGTAGAGGAACAGATAGTTGTGAGTCACTGTAAGAGATATGAAAATTAAATTATATTCCATGGAGCAACAGTTGATGCCCTTAACCATTAAATCATTTTCTTATCCCCTGTAGATAATTCTAATGTTCTCAAATTCACAATGTAGGCCAAATGCTCATGATAGAAAAATTAGCACATCACATGTAAAAAGAAGTTGTTATAATGAAATAGGTATATGACTAATGTTTAAATAAAGAGTGGTCACTGACCTTTAGTGAAAAGGATCATGTGATTAAAATGTATTTTGAATTGGTAAGTGAAGGGCTGCAGACATCAATAGCTGCTTTGGGTATTCCAAAGGCTATTGTGAAAGAGGATTCTGCTTTTGAGAATCAGTCACCAGTGTTGTCCCTTGTCTATTTCTTCTGCTTCATTGTTGTATATAATGTCAGTGGTCACTGGGAATGATTGCTTCTCAAAACTTTTCCACAAATAATTTTGTTTTTATTTTCTATAGTTCTCTTTTTAGAATTTCAGTTCTTTAGGGTGCTTGTATATATTTTCAGTATATTTCTAAAATGTATATTTTGTGAATTATGATGGTTTCTCAATTTGAACATTAGATTTTAAGGTAAGGAAATGAAATTCAAATTCCTATTGTGTCCATTAATAAACAATTTTATATAACATTTTAACGTTTTCATTTGATTCCAATATTTCCTTTACTGGGCAGTTCTCTTTCAAAATTAATATATAGTAACATTTTTTCCTCTGCTCCTCCTCCCTTCAACAACCTCAATGGTCTTCTCATTCCATTTCAAGTTCATGGGATCTTCGTCTTTAATTATTATTGTTGCACACACACAGACACATACAGAGAGGGAGAAAGAGAGAGAGAGAGAGAGAGAGAGAGAGAGAGAGAGAGAGAGAGAGAGAAATATTTAAACACAAGCTGCTAAGTGAATATGTTTGTTGGTGGTGGTTTGTGTCTGTTCCTAGGAATGACCAATCTCTGTAGTAGGCTTCAAGCTGGCAATAATGAGCAACAGGGTGTATTTGCATACTGTGCCATAAACATTCTACATCAGTGAATCTTGGAAAGTCTTCTTGGGCTGTAGGCAGATCTAAACTAAAAATGTAAGGCAATTTAGGCCAGGTTTCTTTGTCTCATTTGAAAATCGTGCAAAACAGAGAATCCCTCTGAGGAGCATAGATTGTAGTTGCATCATTAATTACACTATAATAGCTCCTGTATATCTGTTACCTATCTATATTTTCACCCAGAATGTTTTTACTAGAAAACATCAGTAGGCATTTATGACTTGTAAGGAAGAATGACAAAAAAATACCAGAGTGAACAATAAAAATCTCTGAAATAGTAATGTGGTTATATATTTTTGTGTGAATAATTTACTTGAAATTAAAGCTATGTTTGATTATCTAACATTATAAATTGATAGTAGAGTAACAAATACTCCATTCAGTGCAAGTAGTTTGATGATTTAAATCAACAGTAGCAGACTTTTATTATTTTATGCTATGCTTTTTAAAACTTTATTGCTATTGGGTTTTATTTAATAAATCATGTGTACTTTAGGAGTGCTCTATTATTTGTAATAATTCTAAGAATGTTATTATTTATAGATATCAAAGACTATGGCGGGAAACTAAGTGTATTGCTTCACAAGACATACTTCTTCATCAAGCCACAAATACAAAAAGGAAAATAATGAACAAAAATTTCAAAGGTCTGTGGTTGGAGTCAGTGGAAGCCCATGCTAGTGTGCATGAGGCTGGGATTGAGCTACCTCACATAGATATTACAGTAGACGAGGTAGTATAGCTCATTCACTCTGGAAGCAAAGGAGGCCTCATGTATAGGGAAGTATTGGTAATGATATATGTATTCATCTCTTATATTCAGTGCTGACCACTTTGTATTAAAATATATACTTGGAAGCCCAGAGAAAATAAGTAAGTTTGAAATGTTTTTAAGTAATGTGATTCATTCCCCTTACTTACTACTTGCTTATTTGTTAAGTAATCTAGAATTAGAGTAGCATTTTAGAAACACTATCAGGATTACCATACTGTATCTGATGGTATTTTAAAATAAAACTCTGTCAAACAAAAGTAAAATGTCATTTATACAAATAGAATTAATCTCTTAAGGATATCTAAGATGGCTTAGAGTGTGAGAGTTCTCCATGCCATGCCTGATGACCAGACTTCAATCCTCAGAACACACAGAATTTTAGAGGGAAACAAATTTTTGCAAATTGTCCTCTGACCTTTCAATGGAATGCTTGACATACTAATTCCTATACATATGTATGCATATACACTAAATAAATTCATATTAAAATATAAAAGTACTTTCTTTATAGCCTTCTCAATATGTCTGGTTTAATGAAACCAATAAATTCTTGAAGTGTTAGCAAGTTTACTTTTATTGTTTTAATATTTATCATATGTAGGAAAACACAACAGGATATTTTTAGGGTTTCAAGAACAATGTTACCTTAATTAACATACTTCACATCATTGGCTTCCACTTACTATAGTGTTAGAACTAGCCCCAGGCATGGCTAGAGGCAAAAATATTTTATTTTTTGATTTTGTGCTTCTCCTGCCTTCTCTTTGTTATTTTATTTTTTACTCTGGCTTGTTGCATTTTTGTTTAATGTCTTTTTTTCCAAAGAGAGCAAAAGGAAGGCCTAAATTGGGTGGGTGGCAAGGTGGGGAGGATCTGGAAAGAGCTGGGGAAGGAAAAACATTGATTTGATCATATTGTATGAAAAATATATTTTCAATAGAAAAGAAGAAAAGGAAAATTATTTAATAGGATTAGCATTTATTTTTGTGAGCTCATTAAATTCTCTAAGCTCAAAATCAATCTGTAGTAAGAAGTCTGTTAGTTTGTTCCCAGCCACCTAGTTCTGAAATAATGACACAGAAACCATATTATTTACATCACTGCTTGGACCATCAGCTCCAACTTCCCATTGGCTAACTTCAACATACCAATTCAACCCATCTCCATCAGTCTGTCTATTACCACATGGCTGTGGCCCACTGGCCAATGTTCGGGAGTCTGTTTCTGGCAGGGACACATGGACTCTCTCTAACACCTCCTTCTCTCTCCCAGCGTTTGGTTGTACCCTCCCTGCCTGTGCAGATCCAAGACAGTTCCTTCACCAACCAAGGGTACTCACAGCATACAGAGGGGAGTCCCACATCAGCAATCTTGTCTGTGAAATTGCAATTTTCGACCAAAGGAGAAATAATATTAAAGATATTCAAGTTTAGATAATGATCGTCAATGTACTTCATTTTCAAATAGTCATCAATATATTTCAATTTGCAAGGCCATAATTTATATATTTCTGTCTTCAATTACATCTATTATCAAAATTGAAAATAAAAAAGACATCAAAGGTAAAAGATGCTATTGGAAGAGGTGAATGTGGTTTGATGCATCTGTATAGGATTGTATACATATAAGAAATTGCCATGAATAAAGGAAAATCATAATTAGAAAATGAATACTTAGATATTATAATAGAAATATCCTATTTTCCCTTATTTGGTCATTGTTTTCTCCTATCAGTCTAATGTAACAGTCCCGTCTTGTGCCTATTGTTCCAATGGCTATGTGATGCTTTCCAATAAAAGAATCCCTTTGAGTTGAT